TTCAATTAATCAAAACTAACTATTGAATTTGCCACATAGTTAGTCTGAATCGAAATAAGATTTGACATATATACATTGTGTTGTAATTTTTCATAAGATGTGACTACGTCAAACTACGGTTTGAAAAAATAGATTATGTCAAAGATCACCATGTGAGAACCAAACCGGCCTAAAAATTAGACCAAAAGATTTTGGGACCATTATGGTTCAAACATTAAACCCAAAAAAAAAAAAGGATCTTTGGACCCTACCCAGGTTGGTTGTCGCTAGCTTGCTGCCAAGAAGATTCTGAGTCTCTGTGAATTCTATTTGAACACTATAAATATCCATTGATGAGGCATTTCAGTTTCTCATCTGTGCAACTTCAAGCTACTCAAGACATCAGAAAGAGATACCTTTTTTGATCATCAATTACATTCTTTTTCAGTAACTACCAGAAATGGCAAATAAGGCTGAGAATGGAGAACAGGAGCAACAGCAGCCTCAGTCTATCATCCCTTTACTCACCCCATACAAAATGGGCAACTTCCAGCTTTCTCATAGGTGCTCTTCCTTTTTCCTTTTTTCTTTATTTTCCAGCTAGAAATTTTTTTTCTTTTTATTTTTTTGGGCCTTGTCTTTTTGTAAAGGATATTGCATTCTGTAATGGAGAATAGTGTGTTTTTGTATTTCCTTTTTTTTTTTTTTTTGGAGTTTTTCTCTTTTTTTATGAGTTTATAAGAAAAAGTCTTTTTTTTTTGGGAAATTCCAGTTGGGATTCTGCTTGGTGCATTACTGAACTAGTTACAATATGTTTATTATTTTTGTAAGTATAACCAATTCAAGACAAAGAAAGGAAAGAATGAAAGAAAGGATTTCTTATGGCCTTGTTTTGAAGGATAATCAGAGTATATGTTGCATTCTCACTTCTCAGTTATCTTGGGCTTGGATTATTTCTATTCTGTTTAGTCTCTTCCTGAAGATTTGTATTATAAAAGTCAAATCTTTGAAGAGAAAGAAACTCTGGACATCAATCAACTGAAATGTGTCTAGATACATTGACTGAGACTATGAATTAGTGTTCACATATTATGATTTCTTTGGCCGAGTTTATGAACTGAAAATCTAGAAGAAGCTTTGTCTTATATTTAACCCCAAAAAAAATGGAGGAAGAACTAAAGAAAGAGGGATAGTTGCATTTTATTTGTTCTTTGCATTATGCGGTCAATATGTGCTGATTTTAGATGCCAATTAGACTTCAGATAGTCAATTAGCTTTGATTTTATTGAAACATTTATGTGATTCATGTAAAAAGTTTTGCCAGAGCATCTCAAGTGGAGAATATGGTTCCACTTTAATTCCTTGAAACAGGGTTCAAAGATTAGGATTCTGTTTCTGGGTGCCCCCTAAGTTGAGGTTTGAAGTTCATAAAAGTGATCTTTCTTGCCCTTATGCAAATGCGGATCTATCCTATATTTGTTCAACGGACCAAAAGCAACCTTTTTATTGGTTGCCAAGCCGATTTTTGTGAGATTGTGAACATTGTATATCTATCTCCTTTAAAACATTTTTCTCCATTCTTTTTCTTTTTTTTTTTTGGGGTCGCAAAAGAATCTAGTATTGCAATGAATTAGGCAAATATCACGAAGCATTTCAAGTTTTTAATTAGCTAAATTGGAATGTCATAATCACATCTATCTTTTTCTTGTTGCTGGGATTGGATTATTTAGAATCCGGTGCTCCTGATACTTCAATTCAACTGAAAGAAAGAAATTGGAAACTAATTTGTTCACCATTTCTTTTCTGATTTCCTACAGAATTGTTTTGGCACCTCTGACAAGGCAAAGATCCTATGGAAATGTACCACAGCCACATGCCATTTTGTATTACTCTCAGAGAACCACCAAAGGTGGTCTTCTCATAGCAGAAGCTACAGGAGTTTCTGACACAGCTCAAGGGTAATTGGTTTTAGTATTTCTTTCTATCTTACTGATTCATAGATTCCACGAATGCCTACACATTTGGCAGTATGTGTATTGTTTTGCCTGTCTATACAAGAGTTTTATGTTTCTCCCAATTGTAGGTATCCAGATACACCTGGTATATGGACAAAGGAACAAGTTGAGGCCTGGAAACCCATCGTAGATGCTGTTCACGCCAAAGGTGGTATCTTCTTTTGCCAAATTTGGCATGTTGGAAGGGTTTCAAATTATAGCAAGTCCTTCTGTCACTACCTTTCCCTAATTTTCTGCCTTGTTGGATGTCAAATGTATAGTGGAATTCATTCAAAGATCAGAAATGAATTGTTATTTAATATTCACTTGACAAGACCAGATCACTCCACATGATGTATTACAGTTTCGATTTTCTGTTGGGACTAAGCTTTTATGAAGTAATGATTGGACTTGTAGGCAATCCAGAATATATAATTTCTTGTTATGCCGTGTCTCGACCTATTAATGGTCCATATTATTGGTTATGGAGTCATAAAACCTCGTATTTCCTCTAAGATCTGCTTTATCTGACTGTCATTCACAGGTTATCAGCCCAACAGACAAGCTCCGATCTCATCTACTGACAAGCCATTAACTCCTCAACTTCGAGCGAATGGTGTTGATGTTGCGGAATTTGCACCACCACGCCGGTTGAGGACTGAAGAAATTCCTGAGATTGTTAATGACTTTAAGCTTGCTGCAATAAATGCAATAAATGTTATGATTAATATATATTTGAATCTGTAACGTTTGGATGTAGCTTTTTGAAGGGGAATGGTAAATCTGGTAACAGAGTTGTATACTTCGTTTGTGATGGTTTACAGGCAGTAAATAGAGTCAAAAAAGAAGGAATTGTCTAATTAAGCAGCTTAACTATTCCACAAAAAGATCAAAATATCTACAAACCTTGTGATGCTGCAACTTATTTAAAAAATTTGCCTTCTAGCTTAGAGCACAATGATCAAGTGAGCTTGCTTGAATTGCTTGCCCTGGAGGGCGGAACTATTCTTCAGGTTCTAAATCGGTTACCTATAAAACTGTGCTGCCTTGCTACTTTATGAATAAAAAATACACTTTTTTAAATAGTAGAAATATAATGTCTATTCTGACGTTACTTTGGACAATGGAGAATATGAGAACTATATCCTGAAAAGGAAGCTCAATCACATCTTTCTCTAACTTTATGTATTCCACAAATTATGAAGCAAAGGAAATTTGGGGGAAAGCACGCTATGGTTCGTTGGCTAATATAGCCTGTTAAATTTTGCAGGATTTGATGGTGTTGAGATCCATGGAGCTCATGGCTATTTAATAGAACAGTTTTTGAAAGACCAAGTCAACGACCGACCAGATGAATATGGAGGCTCTCTGGAGAATCGTTGCAGATTTGCTCTGGAAATCATTGAAGCTGTCTCAAATGCAATAGGAGCTGATAGAGTTGGCATCAGGCTCTCCCCATTTGCAAGCTACTCCCAAGCAGGAGATTCAAATCCAAATGCTCTTGGTCTTTACATGGCTGCAGCTTTGAATAAATATGGACTTGCATACTGTCACATGGTCGAGCCAAGGATGAAAACTGTTGGGGAAAAATCTGAAACTCCCGATAGTCTTTTGCCCATGAGAAAGGCATTCAAAGGTACTTTCATGGTTGCTGGTGGTTATGATAGGAAAGATGGCATTCAAGCAGTCGCTGAAAGTCGTGCTGATCTTGTTGCTTATGGACGATTGTTCTTGGCCAATCCAGATTTGCCAAAGCGATTCGAGTTAAATGCTCCTCTGAACAAGTACAACAGATCCACTTTCTACTTACCTGATCCTGTTGTTGGCTACACTGACTATCCATTTCTTGAAACCACAGCGTAATTCTAAAAGAATATTCATTGTATTGCTGGGTCAGAATTTTAAAGCATACGGCTTTTTGGTTACAGATTCTACTGCAGATATACAACTGAAAATCATATACAGAATTTCTTCAAGAAAAGCTTGGATGATGACTTTTTCCTGTGATTGGGGTCTGTTTGGTTTTTTATTTTCAACTCAAACTATAGACACGGCTTCCAAATATTACACAAATTGGAAGTTCATGTTGCATCCTAAAAGATAACTTCCGAATTTGCAAATTGAGAAAACTCCTGCCACTACACCTAAACGTATGGTAACTAGTTTCAATAAAGTAATTCATTAGACTACAGTTTTCAAATTTTCAGTTCCTTGGGTACATATGTGTAAAGTACTTAGTACTACAATAAAACTTGGATCACGAGAATTGTGTAATGCATGGTCAGCCTGCAGCTATGCATAGAGCAGCCATGCATAAACTTGAATAATTTTCTGTTTCACGAGAAAATTTGCTGTCAAATCTGGGCTGTAGGCCATTTTCCAGCCTGCTCCGTCCCCCTTATGCTCTGCACCTCTGCTCTTGCTATACAAAGTGTTCTCGGTGCTACAGATGCCACCTTTACGGCTGGCCATCAGCCGTTGCACAAACTAGGGAAGACAATAGTATAAGAACAAGTTTACATCTCTATCAAATGAAAGTGGAAGTCATCATCATCAGGAACTTAGTCAATAGATATTCTTAAAATATGACCAATGCATATGATTAAGAACCCGGAAAAAAAACAGTTGTCGATCAAGCACTTTTAAACCTCTTTTTTCCCCTTTTTGATGAGAATTTTTCGGGCCTTGTCTCTCACCCACAGAACGTAGATACCGTTGAAAATTGATCACCAACCTTGTTTCTCTAATATGTTTAGAACCACTTGTTAATTAAATACACCGGCTAACATTTCTTATTATTTGATCCCGATTCCCTAATTAACAATAATAACCAAGTTTGTCAGATATATACGTATAAAAATTAGTAGTAAAAGTTTGGCTATGATCAGCCCCTAGGTGTGTACTGGCTGGCTAATATCAGCAAAATGCCAAAGCATCTGGATCCAGCTCTATAAATATTTACACATTAGTTGCTCGCATACTGCAAATTAAGACTAAGAAGAGGAGTGGAGAGACAAGTAGCAAGGCATGGAAATTGAGATAGATGATGGAGCAGAACAGCAGCAGCAACCAATTCCTTTACTGACTCCATATAAATTGGGAAATTTTCAGCTCTGTCATAGGTATATGTCTGTCTACTTATCTATTTGATTCTTGTTTTTCCGTTTTGTTTTCAAGATTTATGTAGATTTCATTCTCTTATGAAGAATCAAGAATGTGATGTTCTTTTATTGACTCTTGAAAATTTCTGGTTTTTGATGAAAATGAAGATTTTTGAGGGAAAATCCCAGTTGGGAAATTAGCTCTTTGATGCATCAACTGTTGTAATTGCTCGTGATTGGAGATTAGAGAGTAGCCTCATTATAACTTAATTCTGTTCATTGATTTCATAAATGGCTTACGTTCTTCAACTATATTTGTGCCATGACAGAGATATTTGTGGTCTATATGGATCCAAGACCTTACCGTAACAACAAAATCTGGAAGAACAAGACAATTTTTTCTATGGCCTTCAATCTTCATAGTTGAAAATGCAAACAAAAGTTTTCAGAAGACAATGGAAAGGATTTATCTTAGCTTGATCGAAACAGAATTGAAAATTACTCAGAGGAGCAATGAAAAATTGATTGCAACTCCTCCCATTTCTACTTTTACCTCATGCTTCAAGTTTCAACATTCAAATTTTTACATTGCATTTCACTGTTTGGAAGTTGCTTTCAACTCCCAAAGTTTGATTGTCACACTCAAGGTCAAGGCTTGATCCATGCCAGAAAAAGTTTGAAGGCTAATGTTTTCACCAATTTTGGTTATGTAAATCCATTCAGAATTGTTTTGGCACCTCTGACAAGGATGAGATCTTACGACAATATTCCGCAGCCACACGCTATTTTATACTACTCCCAGAGAGCTACTAAAGGAGGTCTGCTCATAGCAGAAGCCACCGTAGTTTCTGAAACAGGCCGTGGGTAATTACAGTAGCATTCTTATTTGAACTCTTGATCGCTCAATGATATTCTTCTTTTGGTTATTGCGCAATTTCTGAACTTAGTGTTCCCTTACAACCAAAAAGATATCCAGCTACACCAGGCATTTGGACAAAGGAGCAAGTTGAGGCCTGGAAACCCATTGTAGATGCAGTACATGCCAAAGGTGGTATCTTCTTTTGCCAGATTTGGCATGCAGGAAGGATTTCAAATTACAGTGAGTTCTTATCTTGTTACAATTTTCGTAACTTTTTGTCCTCTATATGCCGTGTTCTTCTTGGACCGATGCCCAGCACATAAATGGACTACAAATCTTAAAGAAGACTCACATGACAAGACCTCTGTGGATGGTGCATTGCACCTTCAAATATCGATTGGAATCAAGCATGTATAGAACTCTGAGGTGTCTTGGAGGCAATTCATAATTCTTTTTCCTCGGTTGTGCAGTGTTGTATAAAATTGAGATTTTTTGTTTCTTACTTGTGCAGCTTGGGAGGCGAAGATTGGTTTATCTGTTTCATGCTTTTTTTTTTTTTTTCCTATTCCAGGTTATCAGCCCAATGGACAATCTCCAATCTCATCAACAGACAAGCAATTAACTTTCAAAGTTCAAAAGAACGGCGTAGATGATTATAAGTATCCACCTCCACGACGCCTAAGAACAGAAGAAATTCCTGAGATTGTCAATGAATTCAGAGTCGCTGCAATTAATGCTATTGAAGCTGGTATGGCTATACAAAAAACGAACTGAACTGAAAATTTTTTTCATTTTTCTTTTTTGTAGAGAAAGACTGAGCTCAGGTTAAAAAACTTTCGATCTCCTTATCGTTTGTTTACTATGAATAGTAAAATTATTGAAAGGGAGCTAGAAGAGTAAAAGAAAATGAAAATGACAAAAATTTAAATAGAATAATCATTAAATCTTCAGGATATTACATAAGAAATGCATTTGATGTTGGAAATAGTTTGTAATACAACTCAGAATGAAAAGAGCTGAAGTGTGCAATCGATGAAGATCGAAATTTGGATCCCTGTAACGGTCATTTTCTGCAAATTCATTTGGCACCTTTTTATGTGAATTTTCTGAGAGATTGCCCGTGAATTTTCTGAAAATTCGTTTGGCACTTTTTCATTAGAATTTTCTGAAAGGTTGCACCATCAATTCATGCCTATTAACATGAACATTTTTCTGGGTGTTATAGCAAAATAAATAACTGCTTTAATAGAAGAAAAATACTAACTAATTTTTCAGCATTCTAATTCTTGTCAAGATAATCCAAGAACTTGTTATTTGGTTGTCTTCTCAAATTCATTGTATCATAAAGTTTTTGCCCAATACCTGATTAGCAAGATAGTGGGGACAATCAAATTTCAATAAAAGTGATTACACGTCTTGAATTCCCTTAGGGTATGTTTGGTTTTCCATGGAATTGGGATTTAGAATTGGAATTGGAGCCCCAATTCTAAATCTTGTGTTTGGGTACTACCTTTCCGATAGAATTAGAATTGAATTGCAATTCTATATTGATCGAATTCCACGGTTCCAATTCTTTGACTAGACCAAAGAATTCCAATTCCAATTCTACGGCCAGACTCCCATTCGGATCAACGCGCGGACTTTAAATGGATAAAAACTCCAAAACGGGTCAACTATAAAGCTGGATTAAAAGAAAACAAAGCTGGCTTCTTTCTCTCTCTTCATGAGCGGATCGCCATACCTACCCTAATCTGCTCTAGCGTTCTTTGCCGACGCTGCCTCCTCCTTTTCCTAACACCTCTCCCGGAACCCCTCCAGGCCTTTCCTACTCCTTCTCTCCTCTGCAGCATCGAGTGGGTGAAATTTACAGATTGAGTTATATTTTGGTCTCCTTTCTTTCGTTTCCTACCTATCTTGAATTGTGCCTCCCACCTTTACCTTTGCCATTACTTCCATTGCTGTCACCATCGCGATCGCATCCTCTCATCCTCACTCTCCTTCCACTCCTTCAATTCTCAATTCTCGACAAATTCAGGATTTATGATGGTATATTCACATTTAAATTTCTGCCAATCAAAGATTGATTATTTTGGGTTGTTCCTCTGATAATGTTTGCCATTAATGTTATAAATTTACTACTATTTTTTTGCTTCTAATTCAACGTTGGGACGAGGATAGAAAAAAAAGTAGTACTCTGTTGCCCTGTTCTTTTTTATTTCATTTTAATTAGTTAGTGTGGTCCCTAGTTTTTAGATGGTTCTCTTTTTATTAGGAATAATTAAAAATGTTTGTGGTGATGAAGATGAAAGGTCGAATTTGTATATATCATCCTTTGAAAAGGTTTTGAAGGTTTTGAGATGCATTTTCTGGTAATAATAGCTACAACTTTCTGGCTATTTCAAGTATGCATTTTCTTATATAATTTTCTTTAATGTTTGTTACCAATTGCTGGTGAAGTAGTTGTGAAATATTTTATTAGATGCTGATGCGGGTTCATCTCCATGTGTTTTTGAAATTAGCATGAAAAATGGGAAAGGGGGTTTTTTTATTTTTCTATATTCTTTGCTTGTTGATCATTGCGGATCGGAAAAATTGAGGAATTTACTTGTTAGGGAAACTTTTTGTATTTTTAGTATGAAAATGAATAATATTTGTATATTGCAGGAGTGGAAAAAACAAACTAATAACAGAAAAGATCAAGAAAACTTGGTGGAATTGGACAGATTTTCAACTGAATGGAACTACTAAATTGCTAAGCTTGCTTAGCTCCTATTATTTATGATGGTCGAGTGAGATATTATGTTCTGCCATGTCTGCTGGTCTTGTTTTTGTTATTACGCTTTGATTGGTACAATGGAATTACACTTGCATTTTTTAGGAACATTGTCTTCTGATGACTACTAGTTGTAGTTGTGTAAGTAGCATGCCAGTCAATAGCCACTGTTTCTTCATACTTAAGACTGCTTAACTTTCTTATCACCAATGTGTTGCCATTCAGTAATGTGAAAATGTAACTTTAAATGAAGAATATGTGCACAATTTTACTACTGTAGGGGACAAATTTACCTTCCATTCTTGATTTTGGCTTGGAATGTTCACTTTCTTCATTTTACAGATTGTTGATGTTTATTTTCTGGATTTATAAGTTTTATTTTTCTTTTGCTAAGTTCTGAATTATGATGACCAGTTTATTTCTTTTATCAGTTATTAAGCTAGTAGATCAATTTAGCCTAAAAATAATAGTAATAAAGAAGCTAGCAAATCATTTGTTGGATACAGAAAAGAATGCCCGAGAAGTATGAGTCTTGTCTTCATTTGCATTCCATATTCAATTTGTCTAAACATGTGATTATCCCACAAAGTTATTTCTTCTTTTGCTGGCTAAGAATGTCCATTCTGCTTGTAAACATGTGATTGTTGACTTTTACATTTTTGCTGGACTGATCATGACCTATACTTTCTTTAGGTGGATTGTGAGGTAATTTGCTTTTATCATTTGAATCTTGCTTTCAGGTCTTTCAGTTTGCGACTTAAAGGTGCAAAACATGTTGTATATGGCTTGATGTTTGTTTGGTGTCGATAGACAACTAGACCCTTAAATATGGCAGCAAGTTGTGAGAATATATGATCTTGAGCATTCTTTGCAAAAGGTCGAAGAAGCTCTCTTGTAGGGACTGGAGCAACTTCACTTGTACAACCATGAACCATGTGATTAATATCAGATTATTTCACTGGATTTACATATGGGTTTATGCATGCATAATATCTGTTTATGCATGTGGATTTGTGTACGTTTGGCTGCACACCTTTCTACTGATAATTTTCTCTTTAAAAATCAATGAATTGCACAAGATGAGATATTTATGGTTTGTTGGTAACAAGTGATGCAGGTTTTTGTTCAAAACTGTTCTTGAAGTTTTGGGTCAAACGTATCTGCATCCGTAGTAGTTTGCAGGTGGCTGCTGAGCGTGTCCTTGTTCTGAATACTATGAGATCCAAGCTGCCTGTCGCAGTTACTACTACGGATGATGCCAAAGATTCTGTAAAGGAGGAAATTCGTTTGAGGTGAAAACTTTCTGAAAATTTTTGACCATGGGCTTATGTTTTGCTTATCTCTGAAGATTGCTGTTAGAGAAGAGAGTCCAGGACAAAGTGGCAGCGTGTCACCTTTCAATACTAGTGGAATGAAACATCCCAAAACTGGGTTTATACAGTTGAAGCATTTGATCAAGAGTTTTTGTTACATATGAAGGATTTATTTGTAACTGATTGTTTTCTTATCTTTTTCTTTCATGAAATATTGCTTCTTGATTTTGTAGTTATTGTCACATGAGTGAAAAATTGCTTCAAACTTTTCCTCTCTCATAGTTTTATCATGCCATTGGTACTTAATGGAGGAGTTTGAGTTTTAGTTGTGCATAGCTATTATGATGGATGAAATCTTTTTTGAATTTTGCATAAGTATTAGAAATAAGAAAGAATTTTGCTTTATTAAATATATATCAAAACACAGTTGAAAATACCACGGCTGAGATGGGGAAATATTTCTTCACAAAAAGGGATAATGGATCAAAACATGCTAAAGGAAATGCTCACCAAAGAAATTGATATGAGAGTGAGAAAAAATAAATTATTAAAGGCACAAATTGATTTTTTCTTTTAAATCTTTAGTAAAAATTAGCTAAATGTAAGAAAAAAAGAAATTATTATATAGAAAAAAAAAGAAAAATTTTATGTAAGCAATTTTCTTGAAAACAATTCTAATTCCTAATGAATTCTTCTCTCATGCAAACAAAGAATTTGGAATTCCAAATAAATTCCGTATCAATTCTATGCATTTTCCAAACGAAAGAATTGAAATGACTTGGAATTCCAATTCATAGAATTCCAATTCTATAGAATTTTGATTCTAATTCAATTCTAATTCTATAGAACCAAACGTACCCTTAGTGTTATCAAATTCCCTTCATTTTGTATCTTTGCAATTTTTTCTAGAACTTCATCATCAATTCTTTTGTTTTTGACTTCCTTGTTGTCTTATTACAACCCTTTCATCAAACAAAGTTAGGTTAGTAGTTAAAGGTTATAGGTAAAAGGAATAGACTATTTTGATGCATATGCACTTGTAGCTAGAATTACTTCTGTTCGGGTGCTTCTAGGTTTAGGTTCTGTATTTAGCCTTATGTACATCAAATGGATGTTAAAATATCTTTTTTAAATGGTGACTTACATTAGGAGGTGTATATGGAACAACCGGATGGCTTTATGTTGTTGGGTAATGAATATAAAGTGTGTAAATTAGTCAAATCTTTGTATGACTTAAAACAAGCTCCGAAACAATGATATGAGAAATTTGAATCTATTTTACTCTCTATTTGATTTAGGTACAATAATGCTGATTAGTGCATTTATAATAAATTTAATAGTGAGTATGGTGTGATCATTTGTCTTTATGTGGATAATATGCTCAATGTTAGTACTATGAATAAAGGTGTAGTAGAGACTAAGAAATATTTATCTTCTAAGTTCAAGATGAAAGAGAAATATTTATCTTCTAAATTCAAGATGAAAAATCTTGATGAAATAGATACTATCTTAGAAATTAAAGTTAAGAGACATAGTCCGAGTTTTGCCTTATCACAATCACATTATGTGGAAAAGATATTAAAGAAATATCAGCACCTAAATGTGAAGGAAATTGAGACTCCCTTTGATCCTAACTTTAAATTATATGAAAATACCGGTAAACAAATTGCTCAGCTGGAATATGTCAGTGTAATTGGTAGTCTTATGTATGCAATGAGTTGCATTAGAGCATATATTTCATAATTAGTTTGTAGACTTGTTAGATACACTAAAAATTCAGGAATAGATCATTGAAAAGCCATTGGTAGAGAACTTGGTTATCTTTAAAAAAATCAAGAATATTGGACTCTTTTATAATAGTTTTCCTAGTGTTCTTGAGGGATTTTTAGATGCTAGTTGGATTACTAGCATTAGTGATCAAAAACCTACAAGTGGTTGGATATTCTTACTTGGTGGCAGAGCTATCTCATGGGTTTCAAAGAACCAAATAGTGTTAACTCATGCAACCATGAAAGCTGAACTTATTACGTTATCTTCAACTTGTAAAGAGGTTGGGTGGCTAAGGGATCTTTTACTTGAAATTGATTTTTGGCCTAAACCAATGCCTCTAATAATATCTTTTGTGATAGTGAATCTACTGTGTCTAGAGTGTTGAACAAGGTTTACAATGGCAAGTCTAGACATATAAGCTTGAGATATGCATTTATTAAAGAAATGCTTGCAAACGATGTTGTTAGTATTGTGTTTGTAAGGACACACAAAAACTTAGTGCATTCGTTGACCAATCCTTTAGTAAGAGAGTTGGTAAATATGACAATATCTGGAATGAGATTAAAACTTTTAGACTAAAATCACTTAGCAATGGTAACCCAACCTTCTTCTAGTACTACCTCTAGTTTGAAAGGTTTAAAGGGTAAAAACAAATTGTTTTAAGTGGTAGTGAGCCGTACAATTTAGGCTAATCCTTAGATTATAGATGAAAAAAAAAGGAAAATCGGACAATTGTAGGTCTGACAAGGGGGTTTTGCAAAACTATAGCTGTTAGCACGGCAGGAAGAAGCAATTTTTTTTTATAAAGTTAGATGCTGTAAAAAAAAAAAAAAGCCTGCAAATCTTGTCCCCTGCCGGGCTGACTTGGCCCGGCAAGGGTGATCCTTAAAAAAAAATGACAACCTAAAGGTTTTATATATATAGAAAGTTGACTCCTATTGGGCTGAGCGAGCCCGGCAGGGGGTGATTGTTTTATAAAAAAAAAGGTTAATTATACTTTGCTCTCTTCTACTTGGATTTTGTAACACTTTGTCCCCCTAAACTCCAAACATATACACTATATCTCTTGTAATCAACTTTTTGATGGGTTAAGATGAAATAATATTTTTTACACTATACATTTTGATCTTTTAGCAATAAAATGAATTAAATAATTCATAAAAAAAAGTCTAAGCAACTCAATGAGTTTATCTCAATTTCGTAGCAATACTTCTTTTAAATAAAAAGATCAAAATGCATAATGTAATTGTATTTAAATACATTTAGCAAATATTAAAGAAATAGCTATTTATTATGTTACAATTATTATATGTGTTTAAGAATTAATCGGGGATATTTTGGTCATAAAAAATATTATTTCATCTTAACTCCATCAAAGAGTTGACCACAAGAGATAAAGTGTCTATGTTTGGAGTATAAGGAGACAAAGTGTTACAAAGATCCAAGTTGAAGGGGCAAAGTATAATTAACACTTTTTTTATAAAACAATCACCCCCTACCGGGCTTACTCAGCCCAGCGGCTATGTTTTGAAACTCGGACCGGCCATCGACTCGGTCGAGGTCAGGGGTCAGGTGTCAATGGATTCGACCGAGGTCAAACCCGCTCAAGAACCGGATGACGTCATAAATATATTTAATTTTAAAAATTAATATATTTTGTAAATTTTATAAAAATATATTAATACTAAGAAATGCATGTTCAATATATATTTGATATTTCTAAGATACTTTACAAGATAATACAAATAAGGTAGTATAATTAAGTAGCAATTTATACAATTTATAATTTAGTGCATATTCAACAGGTTTAGAACCAAATTGGAGGGCTTATTTGACAAGTAATACAAGAATTTAGGGCTATAGCTATAAGTTTTAAAATCTTTTTAGGTGTAATAATAGTTTTCTAGTACTCTAAGGGTCAAATCATAAAATTAATAAAATATTTCTAGGTGAAATTTTATTTTCTTTTTTTAATGTTTTATCCCTTTTTGAACTTAGATCTTCCATTGGAGTTGTTTGAGAGAGATTTATGGTAGGTTATGTGAAGAGATTTGAGAGTAATTAAAAAAAGAATAAAAAAAGGAAAACAAAAAGGGTAAAACACGTAAAAAAGGAAAAATTAAAAAAGCTCCGAATACAACAACGGTCAAAGGTCAGAAACGGCACACAAGACAGAGATGTTAATTCTTGGCAGCAATTATGTACAGCACATGTCCCATCGTCCCGTGGCTTTAGTTTTTAAGTGGTCCCCATACCATCTCTTCTTTAGACCTCAGATTCCAGTTGAAGCGGTTCGGTCAAACCCGAATTTTGACCGAGTGTTTGTTTCCTGGTTTTTTAAAGCAACTCTGACCAGATGCCTACCCGATTTCCGATTCAACCGGTTGAATCGGCCGATCCGGTCCGAGTTTCAAAACACAGCCCAGCAGGAGGCAGTTTTATATATAAAAAAGGCTTTAGGTTGCCTTTATTTTAAGGATCACCCTTGCCAGGCCAAGTTAGCCCGGGAGGGACAAGATTTGCAGGCTTTTTTTTTTTAGCAGCATCTAACTTTATATATATATATATATATATTACTTCTTCCTGCCGTGCTGATTCAGCACGATAGCTATAGTTTTGCAAAACCCCCTTGTCAAATCTACAATTGTCCGATTTTTCTTTTTCTCATCTATAATCTAAGGAATTAGCCTACAATTTAGGTGTAGATTATTCCAAGGAATAGTACCAATTGTTACTCTCAAGTGAGTAGGATGTGAAGCTTCTCTTAATAAACATGTTTCTTAGTGCTTTATGTATTAAAGTTAGAAATATAGTTTACCTATATGATGATAGAACTGATTCCGCTTCTAACAAAGTTTGGGATAATCTTTGTATATGATCATCAATTAAGATGAGCACATGGTCTGTATAGTGCCAAAACTAAGTGTGAATTTATGAATGCTTTGAAAGTCCATATGTGTAATATTTCTTTCTTTGTTGAGTCTTGGTTTAAGCAACCTAGTGACCATTGACTTAACTTAGATATGTGATATATGAACATTATGAAGAAAGTTGAAATGAAAATTACCTTCATTTTATGTATGACCTCTTCGATGTTAGTTTTGGAATTATATTACAAACTATTTGCAACATTCCCCCGCTTAGTTGAAGATGCGAATGAAAAAAGTTGAAGTGTGCAATCGATTAAGATGCGAATTTGGATCCCTGTAATGGTCATTTTCTGCAAATTCATTTGGCACCTTTTCATGTGAATTTTCTAAAAGATTGCCTGTGAATTTTCTGCAAATTTGTTTGGCACCTTTTCATGTGAATTTTCTGAAAGGTGGCACTGTCAATTCATGCCTATTAACATGAACATTTTTCTGGGTGTTATAGCAAAATAAATAACTGCTTCAATAAAAGAAAAAAACTAACTGATTTTTCAGCATTCTAATTCTTGTCAAGACAATCCAAGAACTTGTTATTTGGTTGTCTTCTCGAATTCATTGTATTCTAGAGTTTTTACCCAATACCTGATTAGCAAGATAGTGGGGGCAATCAAACTTCAAGAAAAGTGATTACACGCCTTGAATTCACTTAGTGTTATCAGATTCCCCTCATTTTGTATCTTTGCAATTTTCCTAGAACTTCATCATCAATTCTCTTGTTTTTGATTTACTTGTTTTCTTATTACAACCCTTTTGTTTTCCTAGATTTGAAATAGTACTTACTTGAAACTTCCATCTCAAACTGCTGTTGGGGTGACCTAGCTTGCATTTCTTGTTCTAAAATATTTTGCATGTCTAAGGTCATTGACTAGGAGTACATGTTGAAGTCGTGCCTAGGAAATTTTGAAGTCAACTTCTCGGCCATGGAAATTCAGGTCATATCTTTATAGATCTTTAATGTAGAAGCAGACTACAGTTAAACATGCGAGAGACACGATATAGGAGGGAGAACGAGCAGAAGATAAGTGAATGCTGATGCAGTCTGTTCGTATTTGCAGGTTTTGATGGGGTAGAGATCCATGGAGCTCATGGTTATATTGTAGAACAGTTTCTGAAAGACCAAATCAATGACAGAACAGATGAATACGGAGGCTCATTGGAGAACCGTTGCAGATTTGCTCTGGAAATCGTTGAAGCTGTCTCCAATGCGATAGGAGCTGATAGAGTTGGCCTCAGGCTCTCCCCGTTTGCAGATTACATGGAATCAGGAGACTCAAATCCAGCAGCACTAGGTCTCTACATGGCTGAAGCGTTGAATAAATATGGAATTCTGTACTGTCACATGGTGGAGCCAAGGATGAAAACTGTGGGGGAAAAATTCGAATGTGCAGATACTCTTCTGCCAATGAGGAATGCATTCAAAGGCACTTTCATCGTTGCTGGTGGCTATGGTAGGGAAGATGGCAGCGAAGCAGTGGCCAAAGATAATGCTGATCTTGTTGCTTATGGACGTTTGTTCCTGGCCAATCCAGATTTGCCAAAACGATTCGAGTTAAATGCTCCTCTGAACAAGTACAACAGAGCCACTTTCTACATACCTGATCCTGTTGTTGGCTACACTGACTATCCATTTCTTGAAACCATTGCATGAAATCTGGAAAGGGTACGAAAAGACAACAACATTGTATTGCAGGACCACTGAAACCATGTTAAGGTCTTTTTTAGGTGCAATTTGTACTGCGGGACTGCTAATTTAAGCATTTGGTACAATTGTAACTTGATACTACTATTTGTCGATTGCATTATGAATTTATCTGTCTCTCTTTCTCAGTTATACGAGTCTCAACGGCCAAAGCAATGATTAGATCTTGTTGGAATTGGAATCTTAAACAGCTTTTACAATAATCATCCTGAAAAGTAACTGAAACTATTTAAACAAATTAGAATAGAAAACACTCTCAAAAGAGGGGACTCTGCCCACAATGTTTAGATAATCGGACCATTGGTCCAGCAACCACCAGGAGGGACTCTTTAAGTCCCCCTCCGGGTGCTGGTTGCGAAATCAAATCTCCTTACCACCATGAAATGCCAACAATTCTTGGTTTCCCAACTGATTTTAGTCCCCTCTAAATTCTAATGGCCAATAAATCCCTCCTAATTTGTCAACCTAAGCTTTAATAATTTCTTAGGCCAATGGTCTCATTGGGTTTGTCCCCAAAAAAAAACAAAAAAGAAATCCCTCCTAATCTATTGACCTGAGCCTTAACAAATTCTTAATGGGACTACTGAATTAATATTGTTCCTTTTTACGTCTATGAAATAACATTAATCATAACATAATTTAGTCTCTTTTATTTCTCATTTACCATTTTAGTCCTTGTAAAGTATACTTAATCAAATTTAGCCCCTTATATCCCACTATTGATATATTGTGCACTTTTATTTCTATGACTTCTATGCTATGAAATTATGTTTTCCTCAAACAACTAAATCACCAAGTACCAATACAAAAAAGGTTAAAATTACTAATATACAAATAAGAGCAGTAAAAGCGACATAACATCATAAATAAGGAGGTAGAAATCTTATTTTCCTTCTCTCTTTCCGTTTCTTAAATTTTATCTCTCCCCTATTAGAAAAAAAAAAATTTTAAATAAAGATCTAAAACTGAAAGATCAAATTTAAATTTTCTAATGAACATGAGGGTCTTAATAGAAAATTACCCTTTTGTTGCTTTTAATGTACTGGGATCTCTTTTTCTTGTTAGAGCCATGAACATGGACGTAAAGAGAGGACAATAACTAATAAATTTATGCCGCCCGGCGGACCTTTGCCCTTTGGCGTCAACGGAAAAGTGTAGCAAAATGCAAGAAAGTCAAGAAGCGTATCACCTAAAAAATAATAGTCTTATATAACAAGACATAAATTTGGGGAAAATTTTTTTAAATATTATCTTGCATGCATTATAAATACATTCCTAATCATTATTTTTATCTCTCATAAATCACATCATAAAAAGTGTTACTGTATTATTCTAAATAATTTTTTTGAAATAATCTCCTATCCAAACACACCACAAGATTGTAGAGTTTTCAGTTTTTCTTCTTGTTAGAAAGGAAAGTATTTGAGTCAATCTTCAATTTAAATATTTGACAATGAAATGCAATTTAGTTGGTAAAAATATTTTCATTTGTGATGAGAGGGTCATACGAGTGGAATCTCACAATTATCACAATTGATACTTGAGGGATGATTGCGTGGTAAGATGGAATAAATTATAAGTAGGAAGTTTGGATTAAAAAACTCACGCTTATTAAAAAAACAAAAGTATATCACAGGTGATACTCTTAAAAATGGAAAAAAGTGTAATAAATAGTTAGATTAATCTTCTTGTATGTACTAGGTTGAAACACACGTCTTCTTCCATTTAGTTTCGATCTCTTTTTGCACACAAAGCATAAAATAGACCCAAAACATGTTGTACAAAGACAAGACAAATTGGCAATATTATGTGTACATAAAGTAAAATTCAGTGTGAAGTTTCAGTGGAACACGTAATTTGGAAAGTAAAAGGTTCTTTGTACTTTTTTTTTCTTTGTACTTTATTCTAATCCACTGGTATAATTAATAATTGTATAGGTGACTAGACAAATTAGGCTATGATCAGCTACATGATGGATAGTGGATACTGGTGCCTGCAGTTGCCAGAATAACCAAATCTTTTTTTCAGCTCCCACACTGGCTCACTCAGTTGCATGGTCCTTTGAGATCAAAGACCAAGAACACTTGAGATTTAGAGATAGTAAACAGAAATGGAAAAGAAGGCAGATGATAGACCGGAGGAGCAAACAATCCCTTTGCTGACTCCCTATCAAATGGGACCTTTCCAGCTCTCTCACAGGTAATATATCTGTATATATTTAGTACTAGAATTTCTCTTCCTATATTTCTGTCAGGCTATATAGTTTTGAACCTTTTTTTTTTATGAAGGAAACGATCAGCTTGTGTTCACTGTTGAAAATTTCTGAATTTGGATTAAGAAGCTGATTTTTTAGGAAAATCCCACTTGGGAAATCACTTTGATGTATGTATTTATCTAGTTGCTAGCTTTTGACTTGCAGTGAAATCAGGTTCATCAGGCAAGCATGGTTCGAAGACTCGGCCGAGACCGAGACGACTCGGCCGAGTCGTCACCGTCTCGGCCTAGTCCGAGACGAGACCGCGACGAATCGAGACCGAGATACTCATCTCGCCGAGAAATCGGCCGAGACGTCACCGCGACGGATTGACTCGGCCGAGTCACACCGAGTTACTCCGAGTTATCCCGAGTCAAGACGAGAAATCGGCCGAGTTACACCGCGACGGATTGATTCGGGCATTGCTTTGGCTATTTTTTATTATTTTTGTTTAGCATACTTTTTTTATATTATTAACAATTTTTAGAATATTAAATTCTTTAAAATTTGCGTCTCACCGAGACCGTGACCGATATGCCGAGACCGATGTGGAACGTTCCAAGCCGCGACCGCGACCGCGACCGCGACTTTGAACCATGCAGGCAAGTAATTTCAACCTTTATATTATTCAAGAAGCAGACAAAGTTAGATTACTAAAACGAAGGACTTGGTTGTAGTGTTTTAAAGGAGGGATTACTGTCTCAATAATCTGGGCTGAAGTGCCATCTTTCCTCCTTAAGTGATAGCTAATAGGAAAGATGTATTTATACACCTGGTAAAGTTGTTCTGTAACTATGAATAACATAATTTGATTTGGAAGAAAATGCACTAAAAAAGTTTCTGAATTTGTTACATTAACAGACTTTGTACCTACTTTTCTGATCATGTCATTATGTGAAGAAATTTGCTGTCCTAAGGATTTGAAGAGAAGAAATAAAAGCTATATGTTGTGAAGGAGTCACAGAGGCTACTTTCAGTTTGAACTTCAAAGAGTCACGCATTAAAGAAATGCTCCAAGCTGAGCAGTCCTATCACTCTGTCCCTGCCTCATTGTGGGAGAGCACATTCTAATTTTTCTTTTCCTCTTTTCCTTTCCTGATCTTTCAAAGTGATCAATGGCTCAGTTTGAACTCACAGAAAACGAAATAGAAAATAAAAAGATTCTAGAAGATCAATGACAAATTGGCTTGAAACTTTGTGTAGTTTGTCGTTGCGTATAAATGTAACTTATCCGATTGCAGGTCAGGATCATCTCTTTTTACTGCAATTGATAAATTTTTATACACTTCATTACTCTGTTAGTTTGACTGTTTGTTGTTCCTTTTTAAGTTACATGGAGGCAGAAAATATGTCAATACAATGAGAACCACCTTCAAGTAAGCACCCTACTTCGCATTTTGCATAAGAAGAAGTTTGCTCTGCATTTAGACTATGAACTCTTCTTCTGTCCTCCTTAAATAGAAATAGGACTGGACTTATAAGCTCAGTGAAGAAATCTTCCATATCACAAGATTTACTATTTCGAATGAGACTGAACTTAGAATTCTCCTTTCCTCTTTGGAGGCAACAACTCAATTGAAAAAAAAAAATTGTAACTGAAGTTTGTATGATATTGCATCTTTCTTATCAGAATTACCACAACTTTAACTGATCAATTTTGAGATTCCATCTCTAACCCCTACATCAGAAAGAGTTTCAGGGCTAAATTTTGCACCATCTAATATTAATTCCATGCAGAATTGTTTTGGCACCTTTGACAAGACAGAGATCTTACAACGATATTCCACAGCCTCATGCTATTTTGTACTACTCTCAGAGAACCACGAAAGGAGGTTTGCTCATAGCAGAAGCCACTGTAGTCTCTGACACAGGCCGAGGGTAATTCTATTAGCATTCCTTGTTTTCCATTGATCTAAATATTTCAAGCATTCACCCTATGTTTGTTATTTTGGCCATTTCTACCAAGTGTTGAACTTTTCCTTATATATAAAGCTATCCAATGACACCTGGAATATGGACTAAGGAACAAAATGAGGCTTGGAAACCAATAGTAGACGCAGTTCATGCCAAAGGTGGTATATTTTTCTGCCAACTTTGGCATGGTGGACGGGTTTCAAACAATGGTAATTTTCTCTCTGATTACTTTTTTTTTTTGGTTAAGTGTGCTATCTTAGACATGCTAGTTGTGGACCAAGATTTACCATATATTCAACAGGAATACAACTGCTGTAAACTAATTCATTTGGCAAGGCCACTCTGAATGATGCATTTACACCTTAAAATTTCATCTGGAATCAAGCATGGATATAAATCTGAGGATTGCTTATGGCAATTGAGATTTCTTGTTTCAGTCTAATGTGTTATTGGAGGCACTAGTTCCTGTTCACTCTTTGAGTGCTAGACTTCTATTCCTTTGAAGTTGATTTAATTAACTTCCATTTGCAGATTTTCAACCCAACGGACAAGCTCCAATATCATCTACAGACAAGCTGTTAGCTCCCCAAGTTCGAACAAATGGTATTGATGTTGCAGAATTTTCACCTCCTCGAAGGTTAAGGACAGAAGAAATTCCTCAGGTTGTCAATGATTTTAGGCTTGCTGCTCTGAGTGCTATTGAAGCTGGTAAGACTTTCAGTATATGCAGAACACGTTGAAGAACTGAAAAATTAAAATCTATCTTTTGGAGATAAAGATG